ACCATGAAAATAATAGCAAGCTGCACCTGTAGAATACCATTATTTCAACATCAGCTCTTCGAGCCATCATCTGAGACTTCAGTATCTTCTGGGAATGCACTCTTTGCTTTAAAGCTAGTATACCTATACTTGCTTCATATTTGGCTAAGCTGAAGAGTAATGCTTTGACGAAAGCAAAAAACTAGTCTAGGTACGGTGCGGTACGAACTGACCGTAGCAAAACACCGTCGCACCTGTCAGTTGACCAAATGTCCGCAACCAGAAACCGTCGCACCTTTCAGTCGCACCACATGACCGTACCAAACACACGTCGCACCTGTGAGTCGCACCAAATGACCGTAGCAAGACACCGTCGCATCTTTCAGTCGCACCACATGACCGTACCAAAAGACCGTCGCACCTTTCATTCGCACCACATGACCGTACCAAGCCAAGAGTCGCACCCTTGAGTCGCAGCAAATGATCGTAGCAGACGAAGAGTCGCAGCTTGCAGTCGCACCAGATGACCGTAGCAAAAAAACCGTCGCACCTTTCAGTCGCACCACATGACCGTACCAAGAAACCGGCGCACCTTTCAGTCGCACCACATGACCGTACCAAACAAACGTCGCACCTGTGAGACGCACCAAATGACCGTACCAAAGAAATCGTGCACCTTCGAGTCGCACCAAATGACCGTACCAAAACACCGTCGCACCTTTCGGTCGCACCAAATGTCCGTAACCAGAAACCGTCGCAACTGTGAGTCGCACCACATGACCGTACCAAACAAGCGTGCACCTTTCAGTCGCACCACATGACCGTACCAAACACACGTCGCACCTGTGAGTCGCACCAAATGACCGTAGCAAGACACCGTCGCATCTTTCAGTCGCACCACATGACCGTACGAAAAGACCGTCGCACCTTTCATTCGCACCACATGACCGTACCAAGCCAAGAGTCGCACCCTTGAGTCGCAGCAAGTGATCGTAGCAGACGAAGAGTCGCAGCTTGCAGTCGCACCAGATGACCGTAGCAAAAAAACCGTCGCACCTTTCAGTCGCACCACATGACCGTACCAAGAAACCGGCGCACCTTTCAGTCGCACCACATGACCGTACCAAACAAACGTCGCACCTGTGAGACGCACCAAATGACCGTACCAAAGAAATCGTGCACCTTCGAGTCGCACCAAATGACCGTACCAAAACACCGTCGCACCTTTCGGTCGCACCAAATGTCCGTAACCAGAAACCGTCGCAACTGTGAGTCGCACCACATGACCGTACCAAACAAGCGTCGCACCTTTCAGTCGCACCACATGACCGTACCAAACACACGTCGCACCTGTGAGTCGCACCAAATGACCGTCGCAAGACACCGTCGCATCTTTCAGTCGCACCACATGACCGTACGAAAAGACCGTCGCACCTTTCATTCGCACCACATGACCGTACCAAGCCAAGAGTCGCACCCTTGAGTCGCAGCAAGTGATCGTAGCAGACGAAGAGTCGCAGCTTGCAGTCGCACCAGATGACCGTAGCAAAAAAACCGTCGCACCTTTCAGTCGCACCACATGACCGTACCAAGAAACCGGCGCACCTTTCAGTCGCACCACATGACCGTACCAAACAAACGTCGCACCTGTGAGACGCACCAAATGACCGTACCAAAGAAATGGTGCACCTTCGAGTCGCACCAAATGACCGTACCAAAACACCGTCGCACCTTTCGGTCGCACCAAATGTCCGTAACCAGAAACCGTCGCAACTGTGAGTCGCACCACATGACCGTACCAAACAAGCGTCGCACCTTTCAGTCGCACCACATGACCGTACCAAACACACGTCGCACCTGTGAGTCGCACCAAATGACCGTCGCAAGACACCGTCGCATCTTTCAGTCGCACCACATGACCGTACCAAAAGACCGTCGCACCTTGCATTCGCACCACATGACCGTACCAAGCCAAGAGTCGCACCCTTGAGTCGCAGGAAATGATCGTAGCAGACGAAGAGTCGCAGCTTGCAGTCGCACCAGATGACCGTAGCAAAAAAACCGTCGCACCTTTCAGTCGCACCACATGACCGTACCAAGAAACCGGCGCACCTTTCAGTCGCACCACATGACCGTACCAAACAAACGTCGCACCTGTGAGACGCACCAAATGACCGTACCAAAGAAATGGTGCACCTTCGAGTCGCACCAAATGACCGTACCAAAACACCGTCGCACCTTTCGGTCGCACCAAATGTCCGTAACCAGAAACCGTCGCAACTGTGAGTCGCACCACATGACCGTACCAAACAAGCGTCGCACCTTTCAGTCGCACCACATGACCGTACCAAACACAAGTCGCACCTGTGAGTCGCACCAAATGACCGTACCAAGACAGCATCGCAGCTTTCAGTCGCACCAAATGTCTGAAAAATAAAACTCATCGGTGCGACTCTCTATGATGCAAATCCTTGAAAAAAAGGAGGTTAAAGAAATCAATGCTTTACGAACCGGATCGCGAACAGTCCCGATCACCGACTTGCATCTGGAACATTCTTTTCTTTCGAACGGGATCACGAACATTCCCTATCACCAACTTTCATCTCTACGATTGTATTGAAACCTTTTTTTTTCCTCCAATTCCGCAACAAAGTTCACCGAACCTTGCATATACAGTTTGAATGCTGATGCACTGTGCGAGCTTTTTCTCTTGGCGTTCAATGTCTCCCTCAATGCCTAAGACTTTGCACAAATTGCACCCAAGAATCGTCTTAGGTTCCTAATTGGGAAATTTCTAAGATCATCCTTCTTCGGAATCTCTCACTGGCTACTGGCTGTGTAAAAAGCCTGCTTGAGGATCGCAAAGTGGTGGAAATCTTTCAAGATCGGTATGGTATCGCACAAGGCTTCCGTGAAAAAAAACCAGATGTCTGCGTTGCTGTTGTTCAATTGCCCGAATCGCTTGTCGTGCTTGCGCCAGAGCCTGTTTGATTGCATGATTGGCTTCTAAGAAATAACCTGGTGTGTCCTCCTGTATCTGAAATAGATCTGATTCCAGATCCTGCAAGCGTGCCAATAGACTGTTGATCTTGAACAATGGATCGATGAGACTATCGAAGGTGGTACCCATCGCATCCCATGCCATTGCCATTTATTTTGGAGGCAATCTTAGTTTAGGTCTTTTCATGTGGTCTCTCCAATCACATGTTGTTTCAATGTAATGAAGCTACGAAATGGGTGTTTGTTTAATGCCCTTCTTGAAATATCTTCGTGGCATGAAATGATCTATTCTGTTTACAAAAAGGAATGAACAGAATTGAGCCGAAAGCATAAACACGCATTCGTGGCACGTTCACGGTGAGGACAGAAAGTAATGGTCATTTGAAGCCAGCCTCGTTCATGTCATTGATTTTAAATACCATTGCCGGATAACATTGATTTTAAATCCGATCTCAGCATGACTGCCTTTTTTTGCGCTGGTCTCCTCTGCTAGGTTGCAACCAAGATGTTTGCCGCACATCGGACAATGCATTCACCAAAATGTCGGGTAAAACGACTGATTTGCAGACATCACCACTGCTCACACGTCAGACATTTGTTGTATGTAGTCCATTTGATTGCAACGCACCCCAACCAGTCGACCACATCCGGTTCCATTTGTTGAGCCAATGCGTGGCCTCTACAAATGTTGAGTAAGGGCCGAAAAACATACCCAAGATATATTCGTAGGATTTTTTGGATTCTAAGCATCACTGCAGATCACAGTTTCATTGTCGTCGGTAAATGGAGCGATCTATTCGTCTTCTTGATTGTGTCTTCGTGCTTCTTCTCTTTTCCACTGATCATGGAGCGACGATGCAAATTCAGAAGCTTCCAAAGTCAAAAGGCGAAATGCACGCATACTCTGTTCCAAACCTAGAATATTTGGCAAATGAGTGAGCTGAGCGTTGGCCCACATGTATTTGTTGGCAATTTCCTCCCAGTCATTCGGATGTTGCTTTCCGATGCCATGTGTCACATCATTGGTAAGTCGCTGAACTAGCATAGCAATTTTGGAATCTGTCTCTGCAAACGTACCTTTCCTTTTGCTTTGCAATGATGTTTCTTTGCTTTTCAATTTGCGAGCATCCACGTTCCCATTCTTGTGCAGCAGAGATTGAAAAAAATAAGCTGCATCCGTCCAAGCTAAATCGAAATGATAAAACATTTCCAAATCGTTGTCTGCCAACTTCCTCGTTACATGCCTCCCTTTCTCCAGGAACTGTTTGACATTGATTGTCCGAGTGTTCCACTCATCATTTGCAGTTTCTGTGAAAGCTGAGTGGATGCATACCGTCAAATGACCTGTCAGCAAATAAACCAGGCATGCCGTATCTAGTTCCTCGGGTTTTGGCATGTTGCGACCAAGTAACGAAAGTTTTTGAGCTCGAACTGCAAATAGAATCGAGGACAAGATGATGTGTTGTTTGGATCTGATGGAAAAGACCATGAGGACTGTTTGTCTTTCGCCCCTAAGTTTACCGTTTCCGCGTTTGTTTGAAGCCAAAAAAAAAGTACATTTCCCTTGCACTTCGAACAGAAATCAACAAGACCTTATGAGAAGATGCAATGAAAGCTAGAAATTCTCTGCAAGAAGCTTATTCTGAGTCAGTAGCCACGATAAAGAAACGAAACATGTTTCAGCAGACACAGCAGAACAACTCTCTGATCGTTTCTTCCGTCTGTGTGCAAACGGAAACCTTGTCTAATTAAGCTTCATGTAAATTCTACAATGAAGCAAAAATGCTTTTCCCAGCATTCATTAATTTCTCGTTGAAAACGAGACAAAATGATTGTGCAGGGCAGCTAAGAGGTAACATGATGAAACAAACAGCTTGTACATATGATTTTTATTTCCAATCGTATAGCAAATATATAATCCTGCCATAGTTGTGTTGATCTGAAGCCCGATCACTCGCTGTTGAAGAGCCCTGCTTTGGAGCAAAACCAAATGGACATCGTAATGATAAATCTCTTGCATTTCATGATTGCCACGGCCACCATGACTTCTGTGACGTGCCCCATCGTACATCTCTTCTTCGATGTTCATAGTGGTGCCATGGAGGGTTCGGCTTGCTCTTTCTCCTGTATCTGACCAAAGGTCGGAAACTGTTTTCGGCAATGCACTTCACTCGATTGATGTTTTTTTGGGGTTCAGGTCGATCATGTTCATGATTCTCAATCGAAACCGTGTCTTTTCCAAGGTGAGCGGTCTCATCTTTTCCGGGTCTTTTTGTCTCTTTCTCAATCATCATTTTTGCTTCAAGCTCTTTGTTTGCGGAAGGCGAGGTTTTCCCTGAACTCAGCAAAGGCAATCCTTTTGAGCTGCCAGGAGATTCTCTGCATGCATCTTCCGAAGAAAGATTCATCCACATTGCAGCTTCCTCATCTCCGTCGAACATGTCGTATTCTTCTAACAAAGGTTCATATTCTTCATCAAATGGGCTTTTCAAGGAAGGTTCCTTTGCAGTCCTCGATTGTTTTGTTTTGAGTGTTTCCAGATCATCCATTACCGGAATCTCCGACTCACACTCTACTCCAACTTCATTTTCTTTGTCTTTTTGAGTCTTTCCATCTGATTCCGTGAACAGTTTCTCGGTCACTGTGACCCAGATCATTCTTCTGTTGATGGCCCTTGAATGATCTTTGTTCTCAGTTTCCCTTGGAAAAAAGGTATGCCGTTCATGATTTGTTAGAAATATCCTGACAGTATCAGCAGGAATAAAACCATCCTCATGGCGGCATTTCACGGCTCTTTCCGATTTGACGTCGAGAAATGACTTCACCTCGTCAACTGAGAAGTTCTGCAGTGTGACGTCGTCGAAAAGAATCGACTCTTTTCCTGTGAAAAGCAATGATTTCACAGTATCCAAACTGTCCACAAAAAAGTACTTTCCCATTGAGGCCAATATTGCCTTTGCCATTTCTGTCTTTCCAAGTCCTCCCTCGCCTTGGATGATAAGAGCCATTTCACCTTTGAAGTGTTCCATCCAAACACGAATTGTGTCTGGGATGTTGAAAGCAGATAATGGATATTTGCTTGTAGCTTTCGAGGTGCCTAAAAAGACATCGTCCCGGAATTGGGCCATGTGTGCCTTATTGCATTTCTGGATTTGTTTGGCCACAGCCGCCGTTCCACCATAGTTCCACAGAGTTGGATTGCCTGCTTCTTTCTCCTTACAAGCCAACACCCAGAACTCTTGTTCGTTTGTGATTTTGTGGTGTAGGACGTAGTCGGAAAATTCGGAGAAATCGAGCACTCTCCTTCTTTTTCTCCATCGGTCCTGATGTGTACCATCGCCATTGTTGCTTTCTTCCTTCCATTGCATCCTATTTTCTTCCGCTCTTTTTTTCAAGTAGTCCTCTTCGGTGAGCTGCATCTTCTTCAGCATGTCTTCTTTTGTCATTCTTGTCGGCCAGAATAATGGAGTCGGGTCTAAATGTACGGGTAGCTTCACAGCAGAGTCTGTGAGCACGTACTTTGCCATTTGGTACCAGCCTTTCCTCGGGTACGACATGTGTCCATGTAGCCCGTAGTGTTGAGCAAGTGTGTTGGACACCCCTTTGTGGGCAAAGTTTGCAGACATCTTGAAACAAACGTGGTAGTGCATTTCGTGTGCACTGCCATCCGGCATAAGCTTCTTGTGTGGTTCGTAAACCACTATCATCTGCCTCAATTTCCCCATCAGCTGGCACTTGTTCAAAGCATCCAAAAAGTTTTTTTCGAGCTCCTCTCTGCTGATGTCTCTTGGAATCAGCTCATTTTTCTTCTTTCTTTCTTCATAAGTTTTCAAATACGATCTCGGTGTGGGGAAGGTCCACATCATGATCCATGATCTGTGTTCCGTTTTCAGAGCCTTTTCTTCCTCATTTTCAGAGGAATCGTATTGACAAAGGACATATGAAGAATCATCCTTTTGTTGAGCAGCTTGCTCTTCATTCTGAGTAATCGGAACTGAGGATGTCTGCAGACATGGCTCAGAGGGAGACGAGGACATGAAATCTACGTTCTTTCAATTCAGTAGAATCGCTGTTTGTATTATTGTTTCCGATGTATATATATATATATTATATCGTATAAATATGTCTGGATGATGCGAATGTGAATGCGATATTCTGTTTGAACTGCCGTGCTGCAAAGACGGATCATAGTTCAGTTCTAAGCTTATGCAAAATGTTTCAAATATGCTGTTTCACTATGCTGCGCGTTAATTTTTCTTGCGCTCACAATGCAGTTTGTGCAAAAGAATGCATGGTGATCTTCATTCGATCACAGGACTTGCCTGAATTACTAGACAATGTGCACGCAATCACTCGCTCTTCATTTGTAACATCTTGGAGATTTTCTGGCTGACGATGACTTTGCCTCCATAGTTCCACAAGGCATGGTTACCTGCATCTTTTTCTCTGCCAGCAATTTTCCAAAACTCGTTTTCATTGGTGATGCCATTTTGTTTTGCAATCTCCACGAAATCCGCAAATTTCAGCGTCCTTCTTCTCTTCAGCTGTCGCTGCTCCAAGGTTGGTTTTCCTCGTTTCGATGTGCACTGTTTATGCGACATTGCTTGATCCTGCCATTGCTGAACCACCTGACTCTTGGTCTGCCACATGTGCGGCCAAAATAAAGGGATCTTGTCTTCGGCCACCTCTTTTCGCTTTGTTTTGCAATCCAGAACATACTGTACAAGACTTTGCCAATTTTTCTCAGGATGGCTCATGGAACCTCGGCATCCCCTTTTTTGGGCAAGCAGTGTATTAATGTCGTCACTCGCAAAAGAAGTTTTCGTCTTGAAAATAACACGAAATTGAAATCCGTAATGGTTGAGTAGTGGCTCTTTGACCACAACGAGTTGCTCTAGAATGGAGCCGTGTCCAAGTTCCGACATAGCAGTTCGAAACATTTCACATATGTCGTTCCTCGAGAAATCTTCTGGAACATACTGACACTGATCCTTTCGTTCAGCTGCATTCTGCAAATAATCTTGTGGCGTTGTGAAGGTCCACATATGACAACATGCACGGTGACGAGAATTAGCAGAAGTCATCCGTGACAAATCACATGCAAAATGAACGTGCTGCCTTCGAGACGAAAAAACGACGGCGGGGAAATGTGTCGGAAATGTTCGTGATAAAGTGAGCGCATGAAGTTGCATGATTCAGGTTTAATTCAAGAACAAATCCACAACAATATATCAACAAAGCGTGACTCAAGGTTTGATGAATAGCAGAACACTAAGAAAGCTAAGAATCTCCAATTACATGCAAGCCAAATATTGCTTATGAACTTCTACTGTCGACGACCTCTTTTTCTTCTACGCCCCAGGTCGAACATACAGAGACAACTACATCTGATGCAGACGTATTGTCTCACCCACATTGACACGAGAAATTGTGTACATAACCCCGTTATTTGAAAAAAGCAAATGTATCATCCAGATGCGCTTGGAATATTCTGGCCTTTTTTTTGGCCAATGCAATTAGTCTGTTTGTTTTAATAGTCTCTTGGAGCAACCTTTTTTCTTGTTCTTTTTTTTCAGAAAAAGCTCGATCTTTTTCGTCTTTCAAAAGCTTGCATCTTTCGAACAGTTGCGTTGGACTCCACATCTGATCTCCAATCTTTATTGTCTCTGTTGATTCCTGGGCTGGTATGCTCAGCTTCCTTTTTTGATATTCTTCCATAAAAATTCGAGCACGAGTTTGTGAATCAATGCATCTATTGGGAACAGTTTCAGCAAATTTGCTTGCTGCTGTACTGGAGAACTTAGCACTGTTCTGACGTTTGTCAATGTCGGCAATGAGTGCTTCAATCTGTTTTTCTTCGTCTTCAACAGCTTCTCTTTTCTGTCGCAGTGCCCGCAGCTGTTCCAGGCTCTGTCGTCTAATGTCATCTTGGCTCTGACAAGATTCCAATTTTCTTTTTTCCAGTGCTGAACCATTGTTCAAATTCTCCTTGGTTGATGACATGTTGTCGAGATGTTCCACAATGTCAGTCAGATTCTCAATGTCGAGGTCAATCACCTGCAACAATTCGGTCAACACTGTTGCTAGAGCTTTCCCAACCTGACTGAAGAGTGTGTCATCACAGCGATGTTGCACATTTCTCAAATCTTCTTCTGCGTTCCACTCTGGAGGCAGTACGTTCCCATTGTCGGACAGAAGTTTTTGCCAAATTGTTGTAACCTCCTTCATGGACTTGGATAAAACTGCCAACTGGTGTACATCCTCCAGTGTAAGCTGCTTCTTCAAGAGTTTCACCAAACCAATGAATGATCTGGCAGATTCTGGCGTGCCGCTTGGTAACTTAGATGTCATAAGATGTGGCATGGCGAATAGAGCAATGCTGCGTAATGCCAATAAAAACAGTCTGCTGCTTTCTAGTTGAAATGATAAAGGACGACTTCTTGAGATCGTTGATAACATAAAAGCGCATAGTTGCATCTTGTGTTAAGTACGCATTTCATGTCCTGAATCAAATAAAAGAAAAATTGCACAGAACATCTCCTTGAGCCGAACGAGGAAGAATGAAGAATTGGAGTCACTTTTCTCAATCTGATGAGTAAAACATTGAAATGAATTACAATCCGGTCTTTCTTTTTCTGCCCGAATGCTGAGAAAATACTTCTGAGAAGATGATCATCCCATGATCAAGCCCCCTAACTAATCCTTTTGAAACATTTCAAGCATATGCCGTCTCTTTGTGGTATCCTTCTGTCCTCATCGTTTCTGCTGTGCCATGGCATCTCTGCGGGCCAAAGCTGCAGCCTTATTAGCTGCTATTCTTGCTTCCGTCTCTCTGCGACATTTTTCAAACAATTCAATTTCTTCAGGTCTGTACCATTTTCCGTTCATCCACCTTTTCTTTCCTGGAGATACTTCATATCTGGGTTGGACCTTGGCATGATAGTCGTTTTTCGGCTTTTTCATCTCGGGTGTGTCTCCTCGGAATAAATCAGCTGGTTTGGGAGCTCCATCCACATAGTGCGAGCTGGAAGATTCTCGACATGTCGCCACAAGTTTGGCTTCATCACGTTCGCATTGTTTTTTGACCTCTCTGATCTCTTGCAGACGCATGATGTGCTGTTGTTTGAGTTTCTCCTGTTCAGCCTTCTCAGCATTTTCTTTCTCCTTCAGCGCCTCTGCTTCCCTAGCTTTTCTCGCTTCCTCCTCTTGGACCCAGTCCAAGAGCTCGAAGTCTCTCACATGCTTTGCTGCAACAATGCATTCCAGTGCAGTTTCGATGATCTCCCAATCGCAGGCAGCCAAAGTACCCACTTCGAACACTTCGACAAAGATGATTGCGAAGGCATTGCCCAAGCTACCAAATTTAGTTTGGTCCACATTCTTGCTCAATGATGCTCGAACTGAATTTCGTGGTTTTGTAGTGGCTCCAGTCTCTCTGGTGATCTCATTGGAGATGTTTTTCATTAACTTCACCAGTTCCTCCACGTCACCCAGTGATAATTGCAGCTCCAAGTTTTTGATTAGAGAGATCAAGCAACCGGCATCTGCTGGACTCATGTTTGTAGGTTCTACAAGCTCCAAGTTCTTGTTTTAAACGTCTTTCTACGAAGAAATGCATATTTTGCAAATATTATTGTTTGCTGCATGTCTGTTTGTTTTTGAAACAAAAAAAGTGTGTTATGTCTCTTGTCTGCAACCAAATCACGGACGAACCGATCTTCGACTCTGCAGGCAAGAGAAATACGTTCCTACGAAACAATTGTATAATTGTAGAACGAGTGAATAATGGAAAACAAATAATGGAAAAGAGGATATTAAGCATAATCATTCAAATTTCAGGACCTGAAGCCAAAAGACACGTCGTACACAAGATAGCATATTTTTTCACAACCATTCAAATGTTACGAGATTAATGACACGCAGTGCAACGCTCAAGCTCTTTTTGCTATTCATGCAAGCGACGACTCAGTTCTGGTTTTGAAAAGCAAGAGAAAACATTTCTCTTCTCTGCGGACAAATCACGAACAATCCTCGATCATCGATTCTGCTGACAAGAGAAGTGCATCAATCGTCCATTGGGAGTTGATGTGAGAAGACTTAAAGAGGTAACGCAAGACAAAGCTGACTACTCTTTGATAGCTGACTGGAGATTCTTTGATTGCCAGCACTCACTCATTCGATTGAGCACCGTCACTGGTTCTGTTCACATGTTCCTCACTATTCACTGTCTCATTGGGCTCGACATTCTCAGCCGATAAATCTTCAGCCGCATCTCCATTTTGATCCTGAGCAGAATTAGGGTCTTCACTTCGTTGGGTTTGACGTTCACGTAGAAGCCATAAAAGGTCCTCATCGTGCAAATTGTGAGCAGCTTTCATGAGACGTCTTTTCTTCTGCTGTTGCACCTTCACCGTTTTATTCATCTCTTTGAGATCTTGTTTTAGCTGTTGCTTTTTGGCTTTTAGTGCATCAAGGTCTTGGATTGCAATGACTTTGCGAGGACGGGCTCGTGGCTTCGCCGCTGCCGAACTAGCCATACAGAATGAGTCGAGAGATGCCTGCGAGGTCCAAAAGCAGCTATCAACTGTAAGCCAAATTTCTGTCATTTGATTTTGTTCCCCCGATTGTGTGGCGAATTGTAACCATGCCATGTTGCAATGCAAACACAAGGCAAGTATATGAACAGATTCATCACATGTCCGACAACATTCTCGCAACTTTTTGGTTACAATTTAAAAGCATTAGATCGCGTTCAGCTTTGCTGAATACTTTGTTGCAGAATCGAAGCATTTCCGTACATATTCAAAATCTTCGTTAATTCGTAAAGCCGTTAAGTCGTTAAGTTTTGTTTTTTATTAGATGTATTCTATTTAGAAAAAAAAAGACTTAATGCTTTATGAATTAATTAATGATATTAGGTAAAATATACCATTTTGAAACCTCGATTCAATCGATTTCAACTGGTTTCAGCTTTGCTGGTAACCAGAATAATGACTTAAATGGAATCGTCTTTCGACGAGGCCAGATTTCTTGCAATTGGGTTTCGGAAGGCAAAGCTGTAGGACTGTCTGTTAGACGAGTAACTCCAAGCTGTCGTAATTCATCACTTATGGATTTGGCTTGGCCTAACAGTCCCACGTTGTGAAACGCTGTTTTCCAATTCCTTCCTCGCCAAAACAACTTGTTTAGGCTGCTCAATACATTAAACCATTCTTTGGTTCGCAAGGTGCCATCGTTGTCTTGCCTCTCCATAAAGAGTTGATGTAAAACTGATTTGTACGCTTGTAAACAAGAAACATCCAATGGTTGTAACATGAAGGTTAACCTTGCAGGAACATATATCAGCCACAAATTCAGTCTGTTTGCAGCTGAAATCACCGATGCATCAATGTGACATGGAGCTACATCTAGCAAAATAATGATTTGATGATCTTTTGTACACGAAATGAGTGATTTTGCTATGTTCTCCAATATCACAACCATTTTCTGAGCCGTGTTCCATCCTGATATGTCACGAATAAATCTCAATCCCGGTGGGACATTATCTGGTATATCTTTCTCTCTAAAGGTTCGTTTGTTTAACAATACGAACTGTGGCAGTAAAGCCTGAATTTGTGGCAGGTGACTGATTGCAGCCACATGTGTTGCAGTGCCACGTTTCAAACTGCGATTGATAAAGCGAGCTGGAGGTCGACCCATATTTGTTTTTTTTGGTCACATAGCCCTTCGATCGTAGTGCACATCGATGAATGGATGTCTCATCGATGTTGATGAGACAAATTTCTTTGCCATCATGACGTGCTTGCTCGCACAAATAATCGAACCATTGCCAGAAGGTTTGAACCTGAATGATGATTCAAAAACATGTTTGCTGCCAAATTACATTCAGTTTTTTGAGGCCCGAATTCGGCTTCAAAATATTACTATTTTTATGCTTCAAAGGTTTCAATGTAATGATTCTATTTATTTGAGGTAAAAAAAGAAATAAAAGAGGAACCTAAAAATGTACTATTTGTTCGAGCCTTTTCTTTGAGTTCTGATGGAGGCATGAATTCGCGTTCCATCATTTGACCGTGTCTGACTTGCCATCTCTTCTTAAATCTGCAGCACCACTTCCTCATCGTATTCACGACCCTGATGCCTCTTCCTCCAGACTTGTTTTCAAGTGGATAATCAACTACTACCGGATGACATTGGTCGTCACAACTCTCATGTTCATTTCTCTTCAGTTGGTCAAAGTAATATTGCACCAGCTGCACAGACGATACAGTTCGTCCCTTCTCCATGTTCTCTTTCTCCAGCCACAGACAAGTTTGCATCTCTGTGATGAAGCGCCTGGCTTCTTGAAATATGCAAATATTTTTTTTGGAGAGTGGATGCAAGGCAATCTCTTCAAGAACGTTGAACGGAACATTCAAAAACCAGTCACGAATAGGAGAAAAACGACAATCGTCCTCAGCTTTCTCGTCGTACCCAACTGATCTTTTGCCACGCTTTTTGAGTAGATACTGCATCACTGTTTCATCAGAGTAATTCGATTGCACATAGATTGACACAGCAACAAGGCGAGATCTCTCCGTCGAATTCCATGAGCATTTTTGTCTTTTTGAAGCTCTGTAAAGCCTTTGTCGCATGTTGTTGATGATCTTCTCCAGATGTCGAATTTCCTACAGGGTAATAATACTATATATATATTATGTAAGAAGATATATAATCTCAATATTGTTTTTATACATATAAAAATGCATTAATTCATGAAGTCATTAACAGTAAAGTTGTTTTTTTAATCGTATATCTCTTTAGAAAAAAAGGACTTAACGACTTAACGACTTAACGAATTAACGATGTACGTGGAATTGTAAAAGAAACGGACGAAAAAAAAGTTAGTTCGTAGTTTTTCGAATAAGATACTTTATATTAACATTATATATCCTTGAATATATAGATAAATATTTATATATATATACATATGTGAGTTTACATTTGTTCTGCTGAACATGTGAGTAAACAAAAATGTCCAAGATGTTAAAAAAAACAAAAAACATACTGATCACAAAAAAGAAGAATTCATGATAAAATGATAGCAAAAATGCTACTACTATTGGGTGACCAGAATAAATTACACGAATCAGAACCATTCTTGAAGCCAAAAACAGCTTCAAAACTCCTCCTTCTTGGAAGCTTGATCTTGAACGGACATGGCAGAAGTACTCTCAGAAGAATGAAACTCGAAAAGGCTGCAGTGGAAAAAACATATAAACATTTTAGACGAGACAAGTTGAGTATAATATCTATCTAGTTGCCATACATGATCAAAACAAGATCATGTAAACCAAGGACAACACTATTTCCAGACAATGCCGTATTTCATATACCACACAAATCGCAACAATCCAGGCGCATTTTTCTCGGAGAGATCACGATTGATTCGGTGAGACAATACGTCTTTGGGCTTTGTAGGCATTTTATGACCTCAACCGCGAGTATTCGAAGCTTTCTTTTGCTTCTTATTCTTATATTCCAGAGCGTCAGAGAGAGGAAGTGTCCACAGTACGATTTTGCAGGTTTTCATGAATCCTTTTCGATCTAAAAGTGGACTGAAACCTTTTTCTTCCTCCAATTCCGCGACGAAGTTCATCAGCTGTTGCATCCACAGTTTCAATTGTTCCTGACTGCTCAAAGATTGCTTGTCCTTGCACTTTGCAGCAACATTCTTTGATGCATCAGCAAGAAATGTCACTCGCAAAGGGAATTGCTCTGGCAAAATATTTTCTCTCTTGATATACAGGATGTCAAATTGGCTCACTTTGACGATCCCTGTCATTGTGACATCAGCTACGACCGGTGAACCTTTCTTCGATTTTGTTACCTCCGCTTTGGGTTTTCGATTGTCCTGTAAAGTGTCGAAATTGAACACCAGCCATCCTTCATCAATCATGTGATCCCAGCTCAAAAAGCCGTCCACAGGCAAGCATTCGTTCAAGTCAAAGAAGGACATCACAACCCGATTCAGATGATCATTTGACTTGTTGAACTCGTGCTGCTGGTTCAGAGTAGTACAGCTCATGAAATTGCCCTGACCTTCGCTGTCCAACCACAAAAGCTCAATAAGCATCTGCAAGTTTTTCAATCTCCTCAGTTTCCGATCTACAGCCTCGAGTAACGGGTCTAAATCCTCTTTCACTTTCATATTGGCTGCCGAAATCTTGTTGTACAAATTGTAACCAAGATTGTACTGTTTCTGAAATGTGGAGAAACGATGTTTGCGAATTTGCTGGCTGCCACACAATGCCATGCCAATCATCTGATCGTCTGATAATATCTGCAGCTCCAGGGCATCAGAAATAATAGAAACGAAGTCAAATATCTCATTTAATTCCTTTTCTGAATCTTTCTCCGATTCTTTCTCCTCGGTTTCCCTCCCCGGATTCACATCCTGTGTTCCGCTTTTGCTTGGACGAGCTCTGTTTCCTCCGGGCGGGTTCCAAGCAAATGCCGGGCTAGCGGCCTTTGCCTTTGGCTCTGCAGTTTTTTTCTGCAATACCGGGTTCAACAGT